TAATTAGAATCAACTAATAATTAGAGTGCCAAAATAAATATATGTAATAAATAATAACTAATAAAGGATATAACGAATATAAACTAAATGAGATAAAGATAATAAATGCAATAACAAATAAAATTGTATAAGTAATAGATATGCTAAATATGCTAGAAATATGATAGTAAGAATATTAGGGATATTAATATTAAGCGAAACTAATAGAATATGGCACAATAAATTAACTATTTTAATTACAGGGTCTTATAGCCAACAACGGATATAACATATGTTTCATTGCTATAGCATTATCTGGTTCAATTCCGAAAATAATCTGCTTCCTCTGTAAATGTTTGCCATTTCCTTATATCGATTACTGTATTTCGACAATTTCATAATATCAATTCTTTTGTTTATCTTTCTCTGCAAGCGGTTCGTATTTAATTTCATTGTTTAGGCAAATTTCTGATTGATTTTAAATCTTCAAGAGCTAACCTGCGATTATTTAAAGCAGCAGCATCATATGGTTCGATTTTAATGACCTGTCTAAATCCGCCAGTAATTCATATATCTACCCATATTAAAGAAATTAATCCACGATTGTGTAATGTAGCGCATCATCATCATTTGGTTCTATTTGTAGTGAACTATTTAAATCTGCAAGTGATTCTTCATATCTGTACATATAGTAATAAGTTAATCCACGATTATTTCACTATTTGGTCTGATTTTTAATGATTATTCAATGTTGTAGCATCATTTGGTCTAATTTCAAATGACCTATTCAAATATACAAAGTGATTTGTCATATCCATTCAATTTGGCAGCATCTTTAAGTGTTTCTTCTTTATTTCCATCTGTTCCTTCGACTATTTAAAGCAGCAGCATCATATGGTTCGATTTTAATGACCTGTCTAAATCCGCCAGTAATTCATATATCTACCCATATTAAAGAAATTAATCCACGATTGTGTAATGTAGCGCATCATCATCATTTGGTTCTATTTGTAGTGAACTATTTAAATCTGCAAGTGATTCTTCATATCTGTACATATAGTAATAAGTTAATCCACGATTATTTCACTATTTGGTCTGATTTTTAATGATTATTCAATGTTGTAGCATCATTTGGTCTAATTTCAAATGACCTATTCAAATATACAAAGTGATTTGTCATATCCATTCAATTTGGCAGCATCTTTAAGTGTTTCTTCTTTATTTCCATCTGTTCCTTCGACTATTTCGTTATGCCGTCCCTTTTTTTTTATCTTTCTCTGTAAATGATTTGTTTTTTATTCATTACTTTGGCGAATTTCTGATTTTTTTAAACCTTCAAGGGCTAACCTGCGATTATGGTTCGATTTGTAATGACCTGTCGAAATCCGCCAGAAATTCTTTATATCTGTTCCGCGCCGTTACGGAATTTAGGTCTATCCAGAATTGACACATTCATGAATCGTGAAATGAAATAAGTCGTTTTAGAATCTGCATCCATTTACCGATTAAAAAAAAAGCGAAAAAATTTGAAAAAATAAACATTAATTAAAATAAAATAAATCTAAGAAATAAAATGCGAATAAAAATAAATTATTATATGCTCTCTTAACTTTAATTGCCAGATAAATTTTCATACATTAAACGAAAAATTAATTAAAATAAAATAAATTTAAGAAATAAAAATCGAATAAAAATGATTAGATGCTCACCTAACGTTAATTGCCAGCTAAATTTTCATACATCAAACAATTTTCATTTATAATTTAACCAAATAATTAAAAGTTTTTACATTTCTCGCGTAGAACACATTCGCATTTTCTTGAGCATCATGAATTCCTTTTTCTGCAAGAACATGAATTGGTGCCGCAATTTGTTTTTCGGCAACGACGCATTTCTTTTTTGGGTGTCTTGAACCAATATGTAATTAATATTATTATTATGATTATGATGTTTTTTTTTTATTACTTACTCAAGAAACGTATTTGGCGGGTGCTCACTAATACTATGATAGGTTGGACGTTTGTGATTATTATGAGTCGATTTTCTATTATTACGAGTTGGGCGTTGAGATCAGGATAATCAGGGGTACGTCATAGACATTAAAGAGAAGAAACCAAGTACTGTATTTATTATTCATGTCGTAATGATCGACAAAGTATACTATAGTAATTACTTCAGATCATTAAATAAACTATTATAAGGTTACACAGCCGAAAGTATAATTGTTAACTTTGTTACACTATTTTTTGTAACAGTACAAATTGACGAGAACCTCAAATTTGCAGACGACTTGGTAAAAATCACCTTGCACTTCGATCAATCTTTAATTTTTCAATGGCGGGAATGCGAATTTTACTAAATCACCAGGTTCTTATTTCAATTTCATTTTGGCTTCCATTTTGTAATTTAGCAAATGTTTGGCTAAATTTTCATCAATTCCGGGTGCCCTTTTTTTATTTGTATTTAGGATTTCATTCCATTCTTTATTGCCAAATAAGTTCTTGATATTGTCATCTGACGTATCAACAATAAAAGAATGTGCCGGTTGTTTATAATTTAATTGTGATGCATAAGCATAAAGGACATCCTCGATGCTTCGTCCTGAAGACAGATACCACTTCTTTTCATTTTTAATTTTTTTGTATGTTGATTCATATGATGGCCAATATAGTATCTCTTCATTAAAGTGGCCAATTGTTACTGAAGGCGTAATGACTGTGTACGTTCCTTCACCATAATTATCCGCATAACTTACGGCTCCAGGGCTTTCAACATCATTATCGGGTGCTGCAGCATCGATTACAACGACAAGGCTTTCGCTGTTTTCTAATGACACATTATTTAGGACTTTTTCTGGGATTTCTCCATTATCTTCTGATAGTGCATTACCCGTATTACTTATAACTTCAAGTACTTGGTCATTATTTTCTGATGGTCGATCACTTATTGCCTCAGGAATTGGCGTCCAATCTGAACCTAATATTTATTTCGTAGATAGAATATACAATTCATCATATAATAATAATAAGTTTAAATGTTTGTAATATTAAATAATTCACAATATAATAGTTTCGTAGGATTACTTTGTCCGTTAGCGACTTCATTCTCTCCAATGTCAGGTCGTCTTTTTGTCTAAAAAAATTAAAACAAAATAAACATTAATAATTAATGTTTAAATCATTAAATCATTAAATTTTTTACATACTTTTTTTTTAC